CCATAAGCATTTTACTTACCCAAGCAGGTGGTCTTCTGTCACACGTTTGTGGAGTCTTTTTCCCGACCGTTGATTGCAAGTGAACTCCGATAAAAACAGTTTGGGATGTATTGATAAGGTGTATACATGAAAGACTCAGTATTAAGGCCAACTAAAAGACAATGGCCGAAAGATGGCAAGTGGGCGGGGGTGGGACGGTTTTGGAATGACGCTGATCATCATCCGATCGTCTCAAACTATACTTGAATCCTATTCCCCATCTATCGACTTTACTATGTATTAATTAGCAGACATCGTTGGGCTATAATCCCTTTCCTATTAATTAATTAAGAGGAAAGAATATTATTATTATGAGTAAATTGTAAAGTTGCTGCGAAGACCATTTTCACAAAAAAACACAATAGGTCACTTTTACTAAAAACTATTCACAGATGTACCTAAATCAGACCAATTATTGGTAAGGTTGAACAGTTGGGTTTTGTTTAATTCAATAGAATCAGAGTTCGTGAAATAATGCACAATAAGATGAGGTATTAATGGGGTGGGCAAAGATGAAGTTATTCGTAAACGAGGGGTGGACTGAGCGAATTTGAACCAGGAGATTTATGCAATTTAGAATAGCTTCTCGCATGATGGTAGGCCGATTCGGGGATTTCGTACAGCTTGCCGGACTTCGCGTCGTAAACATGGCTGTTCTTCACAATTTATCATATTTATCAACCTGCCAAATGTTTGAAAACAAAACACTCAACCGAAAGAGTCTTGACAATGCAGCTTCATTGAAGCAAAAGTTTAAGGGCCCTAGGGAAATCCCCCCCCCCCCCATTTTCTCAAACCAGAGGGAAATAAAGGACAGTAATGTGACCCGTCAGGAAGAACGAAAGAAATTTAAGAACCGGATTTTGGGGAGTGGCTAGTTCCTTACACCGATGTGGATAAAAAGCAGTCTGTGGACATATTCTGAAAAAGTTTCCAACTTGAGTAAACCAGGAGACGCAATGAATGAGAGTCGAATAGGAGGATAGTCTGGCTGTTTAAAATAAGTTCGGGAGAACTAATAATCAAAGATAGATAACGGAGGACAGGTTTGAAACTTAACGGAACATTAATGCACTTGCTGACGTAAAGCACAGGGAAACAGAGCAAGGATTACTTGTTAAGCTCATTATGGTGGTGGTGGAAAAGGAATAATTACAGCATCAGCTTATGTGCAAGTAAAAAAGATTATGGGAGTGGGGAAGCTATGTATGTACAAAGACAAGTATGGGGAAAGAATGGCAACCTGAGGAACATCTTAAAAATAACTATTGAAGATAAATCTTGCATTATTTGAAGTCAATAGAGTCCTTCGGGAGTAGTAGTTGATCAAAACTTTCGAAATCTCGAGTCTCAGGTCATGCAGTAAGAGGTTGAATGAGAATTTCTCAGTAGAATACCAAGGATGTTAGCTTAATCAAGAAAAGTTACACGAGCAGTACCTGAGCCCTTATCTAGGACGGATTTAATAGAAAGCACAATATGGGCAACAGCACATAGTGTGGTTCAACTTGATTTGTAAGTAGACTAGAAGCCAACAGGTGAGTAAAACAGGGTACCATTCGGTGCAGCAATGCAGGCAGAGAGGCATTCAGTAAAACGATACTTTTCTAACTGTCCATAATGAAAGATTTGACTCAAGGTCCACCACCAGTAATGGGAAATCGTCTTACATGGCAAACAAATTCTACAAGCTGCATAACCAATGGTTTTGACAAAAATGTTAATGATAAGTTGGAACCCTGAACTTTATTGGCCGTGAATCTCCTCAAGACATAGAGAATCTCATTTGAAGAAAAAATGAGTTGTTTTTTCCCTTTTGGTATCCCCTTCCTTGGTCCCACCTACCACACCTTCCCCATCGTTTGCACTCCATCTTTCTTACTTTCATAACGCCCGTCTCCTTCACCCCAATTCATTGACCTATATTCTCTTGTCTAATCTTTTCAAGTCTGCTTTAGTTAACCTTTGACCTTGGCTAGATGAACTGTCCTCGTATTGGGGCATCACGTATCCACTTTTAGTTTCCTATCGCTCAAAGTTGACCTGTTTGTATTCCGTAATCGGTTCTGTGCTCAGATATTTTCCGTAGCTGATTGAGATCATGCGAAATTGATGGTGCATATCAATCCCACTCATTTTGTATTACTTGTTTTATTCAAAGAAGATATTTTCAAATAAATTTAATTAGGCGTAAAAAGATTTTGATCTCAAATTTGGTTGCTAACACCAATGCATTGATTTTAGTCAAAAATCAGCAGACTATACGTAGGGAGGCGAAATGAAATGCGGTTGGATATGATAACACGGAACAGACTGAAACACCCGACCAATGACGTTATTTTGGTGGGACTAAAAACCTCGTAGTGGCCAACTGTTCAATAGTTCCGGGTTGGCAGCCGAACGTCTAGGGATTAATATTCATTTCGTTTTTTAAAGCTTTTATCGAATTTCCCCAAAGTGAATTCATGCCTGCTGTTTTGGATAACAGAATCATTGCTTATTGTTATCAGAGCAGTTGCCAACCCAAAGAACACAAGACTTGCGAAATAAATCTACTGGAATCAGGAATTCAGAGTCGACTGGCACCACCGAACTACTTTCACTGACGTTCACGTCATTCGAAATAAACCAAACTCTGATCATCAGGACCGGAGTGGGAGAGAGAACAGTTTTCATAGTAGCGATTGTTGCTTTTGTCAACCCAGGGTTGAAATTACTCCATAGAGTTGTTATATTACCTGTGAACAGCAGCCAACTGTTTCCGGGCTGATGCCATCCTATTGAATCTACCAAACTAACATCGTTTTAAACTTTGTTAAAATGATTATTTATTGAACTGAGTTGCCTCTGACCCCGTTAACCTTCTGAAAAGCACAGAACGCCCAACGATTTTTGATGTTCATGTTTTCTTTACTTTAATTTCTGATCACTTAAACCACAGTGAAGTTAAGGGTACTGTAATGAAATACCTTATCCGGGTGCCTGTTTTCAAGAACTTTGATGAGGTTTTAGGAAACCAGTTCCCTTTGAGAGCCAACGCGGAAGTATCATGATCAACGGATTTGCTGAATTCCACGATTTCATGGTAGTCTCGTTGGATTAAGTTTGATGGAAAAGAAACAATCACGCACAGAGAGAGAAGAGAAATCAATGCATTAGTGAAAGGTCACGAAAGATCAAAGTGAAATGGATAACACGTTAGTTTTAAATGCACCATGAAATTCCCTTGGAACAAAGATTTAGGGTAAACTGCTTTCGGTCAAACCTCCTCGATGATTGTACGCAGGGTGATTAATCTCAGATGCCTGACACCAAAAACTAAGTGTATATAAGATTATTATTGCCAGTTTCGCCGTCAAATGAACCAAATGATAGGTGCATAAGTTTGACTGACATTTCACAGTCGATTAGATTTCCCCCTTATTTAATTCGTCTAACCGCCTATTCCAAAAAATCACGGAATACTTCAAATGAGAAGATAAATAAGGATTTACAATGATAGGATGGTTGATAGTCTCCGTGTTTGCAATAAACCATACACGAATCAACAAGAGGTTTTCTGATTTGTTATTCGTCGATGCATGACAGTCTCGCTCCAGCCCTGCTTAATTACCACTAAATTCAAACGCACAAGGTTAGGTAAGGTGAAATATCTATAGTTTACTTTTATTTTCAGTGTAATCCCCTCACACAAATGATTAGCCAAACTTTGGAGTGTGTGTGTGCGTCGAACCCACATCTCAACGCTTGATCGGATAAGTGAACAAAGGTCCAATCAAAACAAGTGCACGTTATACCATTCGGAATAAGTCAATCGGCTTTCAGCTGCATCCTAGCTAAAATTCTATCGGTTGAGACAACTTTTCTGCCTGCCTTGCTTCAGTAACACAGGTTTGTATCTTGATTGGTCATCTGGAAAAGCCGGACCAACGGCTCTCGAGATCGAATGACCTCATTGGCCCGTGGCGAAACTTGCACTCGTTGCCTATTAGTCGAGGCTTTGAATGTTTGCTGAACTGTCCAATTCCTTTAAGCCCCGACACTGATGCTTGAACAGCATACGTCACTTGGAATCCCAGCGACCGGGTGACGCTTCGCCGTCGACCTATCAATGGTACGTGCATGTGAGCATGGCCCAATAGGCCGTGGGACGGGTGGTGGCGAGCGCACCAATGGATGTTGTGACGAGAATGGCTGGATTCAAAACCTACCAATCGTCCATAACTGATACCTTATTCGCTCAAACGCCAAATAAAACAGATTTTTCCGACTTGGAATGGTGTTTTTGTTTCGGTGTTAGAATGCGCTACACCCCATGTTACGCGCGTAATCCAAAAAATTCTCTACGCGGTACTCTGTCGTTGTTTCCGAGACAGTTGAGGCTGCGTAAACGGTTAAAATGTAAGTTCGGCTGTGTTTAATTACCGTTTTTGTTTATTTGTTGTATATTTAGCCATTAATAATGTATTTTTTCAATTAATAAATTTCCTAACTTCCACTTTAAACAAACAAATGTTTTCTGATATTTTCTGTCTTCAAAGGAGAACCACGATTGAACCTGAGAAACTAATAGTTTAAATAGAGTAAAACATAAATTTTATGAACAGTATATTAGCGTTCATCGGACAGTCTTCAAAACCTGCATTCAAATGTGGTGCTCGAAACTATTTTAAAGGAGGCTTTACTTACCGAAATTTCTAATGGTTCTTTGTTTTCATCGATTCTGCATAACCAGTCGACAATTTTGTTCGTTCATATTTAAATAAATGTAGTTCATTTAATTATTCAGACAAATCTATTCTTTGGTTGCTAATTCTAACTTGGTACGATGGTTCCGTTGTCCAACTCAGTTTATATGGTCACTCCTCTGTTGGAACTGATAAAAATGACGATTATCCACTTTTAGGGATGGATATATCCATGCCGGTCAAGTTGTCCCAGCACAAACTATCCTCCAACCGATGCAACAACCCTTGCTGATGGATGCGAACGGTGCTGCTCAACCGACCACATTCGCAGTTCAAGCGAGCGATGGTAGTCTTATACCGGTTCAGCTAGCAACTTCTGCCGGTGGGGGTCAAGTTATCATGTTTCTCCAAAGCGCTGCTCAGCAGACCATATATGCTGCCCAACCCATTGTCTCTGCAGCTGCTACCAATCTGGATGCTGGCCTCGCAACAACTCAGGGCCAGATAATTAGCACCTCCGTCGACGATGAAAATCATATACTTCAACAGCTACAACAAGCACCGCAAGTTCAGGTACTCCATCAAGCACAGGCTGCTTCGATCCCCCAAACAGTTTCCTCGGCTCAAGTGGTACAAGTCTCGAGTCCCAAAGGAGACGGTACCCTTTCCGAATCCGTTGGTGCGGCACAGGCCGCTGCTAGCGTTTCTCCTGGTCTGCCTGTGGGAGAGGAACCACTTTACGTTAATGCAAAACAGTACAATCGGATCTTGAAAAGAAGACAAGCGCGAGCTAAGTTGGAATCCCAAGGACGCATACCGAAGGAACGCCCGAAGTATCTCCACGAGTCCCGGCATAAACATGCCATGAACCGCGTCCGCAGTTCTGGTGGTCGTTTCTTCTCTGTTCCTAATTATTCAGAGGCAAACAACAGTACTGCATCAACCTCGTCCAGCAGTTCTTCATTCCGACCAACCGAAGACACAAAACTGAAACAAGTAACTCAGTAAGGTTAGTATTTGTGACCATCTTCAATATATGATTTTTTTTGTGCATCGTTCTATGCAATCCTATCTGGTACAACAAAAGCGCGTCTGGTTACCTCAATGTTCTCTGTAATGGTTACCAGATTCGATGATCTTGTGTCCGTTTTCAGGTTCCACGGGTCACTTCAGGCTAACGTTGCCAGTTTCCATTACAGATTAGCAAGTCTTATTAACCGTAGTTCACTCCTATCTTTTGTTGTATTGGCGCTTTTAATGTGACTCACAATGAGCAATAACCATTAATTGTTCTGAACCTGATTTTGCACAGGATTACATAGAGATGTATCTTGTGTACGTCAGATTCCTGCAGGTTAGTTGATCATCGTGGTTCGGTACAAAAGAGCAGTACAGTTCGCTTATTCCTACCTTGTCTTTTACCAAGCAGATCGACCAGCGGTACGACGTCGTTTCTAAAAGTTAAGTGTTACTTGCCAGTTACCTCAAAGCTTTAGGCCTGGGTTGTTCGCCCCAAGTCTTGAGTTGGAGTCCTCTCAACGGTGTCACCAACTTAACGTTCTCTCAGCGTGAAACGTCCTAGTTGTGCCAAACGGCGACACCCAGTGAAGTCAGGGATCACGAACAAACCGGCAGGCTTAGGTTTGATTCGTTGGTATTTAATCAGAGTTTCTGCGGCCAGGTGGTGGTAATGGCGCGGACGACAACAGAACCTTCGATGCCATGTGTGACGGAACGTGAAACCACGATGAATGCAGCTGCGACCTTTTGTTGACGGATACTATCCTCTCTAAGGTCTCCGATGTGGTGAATTTGAGCCAACTGACGAGTTGAGTCGGGGAGCTACGCCGTCCGTCGAGAACCGTGTCGGAATTTGGTATCGTTCAGGAATAGCTGGTGGTCTTTACAAAACTTTTGTAGTTCATCGCCGTTTTCTGTTCGTTGGTAGGGCAAAACCAACCGTTTCATAGGTAGGCTTCTGATGTGTTTTCAAACCTGTGCGTTAATGAAACTCGCCAGCGCAGTTATGCCAGAGCTTCTGCTCATTTGGATGAATTCGGTGCGTTTCTGGTAACATTTATCCTCTTCGGCATTAGAACTGTCGTTGGTTGGTGCGTACGCAGAGGTGAATAAAAACTCCATTTTGTATCGCTTCGTCCCTTAACTTCTCGCACGTGTCAACTTTCTATAGTGCAATCATTTATGTCTTCCTTGTTCTAAAATGCCTTTGGATTCAGTCGATCGTTCTAAACTTTAGCTCTGCCTCTCCTGGAAGGGTGTGCCCCAGAAGTTTGTTTCAATTTCAAGGTCTTCATACAAATAGACAGAGCCGCACCCGAACTTACGGCACTATTTCGCCCGGGTTCTCCTTTAAGTGGTGTTCGTCAGGGTTGCCTAAGTTTGTTATCGATTCAAGTGTGGAGAAACCCCTCCCTTGTGCGAGACCTGTCACGACGAGACTACACTGACGTGGTGTGATAGTTTGTGCACCTCTGTGACCCAACGAGCTACACAGGATGGCTTTTGTCAAGCCAGGAAATCTTATCATGCCTAGAAGGTCAGTGGGTAGAGCTCGGATGAACTTCAGTCTCCAGGTTCGGGGTTCAACTGGAATTTGCGTTTCCGTCGGTAAAAATTGGTGGAGGAATAATTGATCCAAGCGAATTGGCCTCCACTTCGCTTCACCCACTGCCACTTTGGACGAGAACCCAAATGGTTCTCCTGCTTAGTGGCTTGGCACGCAAGCATTACCCGTCCATCAAACCTTAATGCACACACAAAATAAAAAT